AGGAGACAGGCAGGGAAGGAGAAGAGAGTGAGAAGGGGCCCTGCCGGAGCCCGGGGCAGCAGCACTGGTATGCAGGAGAAGCCAAGGGAGACAGGTCCGAGACAGTACGGCTCGGGACCGAGGCGAGCACACGTGGACTGTGGGCTGAGGCAGGAGCATGGTGAGCTTGGGCTCTGCCTGCGCCCTCGGTGAGGCCTCAACTCTTAAGAGAGAAAAGAGCTGGGGTGCAGCTCAGTGCAAGGGCCCCGGGGTTCAATCCCCAGAGCAGCGGTAGCACCAGCACCAACAAGATGCTGCAGGAAGGACCCACACGTGTGGACTGAAGAGCTCACTGGTGACTTACGGAGCCACAAAGCAGCTGGCTCCGCTGAGTGAGGCCAACGTGGCCGCGGTGCCTGTGGCTCCGCCCACCCAGTGCCGCAGAGCCGCTTTCCCGACAGAGGCGGCAGTCCCATTGGCCTGTGTTGTTCCCCACCGGGACCCCTACCCTTGTGTCCCCCGTCTCTACTCCCAGCCCACACCCCTCCTCTAAGAAGCCCCCAGGGCCCTCGGGGCCACAGGTGGACTGTCCTTGTGCCTTCCGTGTGGCACAGGTCGGCTGTGCTGGCCACCTCCATCGCCTGCAGGCCAGGGCTCCCACAAGCGCAGTGCGACTGCCGCCGGCCGTCCTGGGTGCCCACAGGACCTGGGCCAGGAGGGCAGCCCCAGGTCTCTAGGTTGCCAAGGCCCTGGATGTCCCGCCTGCGGCCTTCGCAGCCCTGCTGTCCCCGGAGGGGGCTGCAGGACCCCCGTGGCCACGCTGAGTCCCCCCGGCGCTGTTGGATAAGTGCTTTTGGAGACCACGCTCGGGTTCTCCTCCACCAAGCAAGCGGAGGCCCCACGCTCTCTTGCTGAGGCGGCAGGAGGCGTGGCACCCTTGCAGGGCGCCCCCTGGCGGCGCGAGGGGAGAACGCGGCCCCTGCTGCCTGGGGGAGCCCTGCGGCCAGTGGGCCCCTGGCCTGGACACACCTGCGATCAGATCCGCCTTTGCCAGTTCGCGAAGGTTCTGTGTTGACAGTGGGTCAGGCATTGCGGCTGACACATTGGCCAGTTTACAAAATACAGGACCAGGGATACTGCTCAGTGGCATGGCGCCTGCCTGGCAAGTGCCAGGCAAGCAAGGTCCTGAGGTCATTTCTGGTTGCCTCCCAAAATAAATAAATAAAATAAATCAAAAACGTTTTCCAGTTCAATCCCCGGTTCTGAAACAAAACAAAACAACAAAACATTGTCCACAAAACTCCCTTTCTCCTGCTTCCTGTGCAGAAGGTCTGAGGCGGAAGCTCCCCCAGGCTCTCGTGCTGGGCCACCACAGAGGAGTCCCCCGGGACAGCCTCTTTCACACATGGAATTCCTCCCCTGGCTGTGTGGCCCAGTGCCCTCCGGGTGGGGCAGCCACAGGACCCTCTTCCGCGGCCCACAGGCCAGTCTTGCCCGTGGCCCAGAGGTTACCTAGTTCCACACTGTAGGGGAACAGCAGGGGAGGGTTGCTGGTGTCCATGGGTCCTGTCCCCGGCACACTGCTGATGTCCCGAGGCCTTGATTTCCAGGCCTCAGCCCTGCTCCTCTGGGCCGGTTGGCTCACAGGACCCACGCAGAGCTGGGCTCTGAGCAGGAGAAGCAGCACTCAGGCTGCGATCGGTGGGACACCGCGTGGGGACCCACGTGGGCCCTGGTGGTCCTGGCACGAGTGCAAGCCCTGCACAGAAGAGCAGCCAGGGATGGAGCCGGGCTTGCTCTGCCTGGCACTACGCTGTGAAGGCCCCAGGGTCATCATGGCCTGGCACAGACTGGGAGGCGCAGGGGGCAGGAGGAGTGGGGTGAGAGGGTGCGGTGGGGTGTTGCTTGGGGGCCAGGTGCAGGTCCTGGTACAACAAAGCGGTGACCAATGATGTCACGCGCTGCACCTCTCAGAACAGGGAGAGAAAGGATTGTTTTTGTCTGAGACAAGGTCTTGCTATATAGCCCAGGCTGACCTCAAGCTACTCCGGAGGCTGATGCAGGAGGACTGCAAGTTGAAGGTCAAGCTGTGCAACTTTGCAAGATAATAAAGAAAATAAAGAAAAAAACCTATGCCAAATCTACACCAGGGTGAGCACTTACGATGCTATCATTGGTGTAATGCCATACAGTGATCTAAATCTATTATTGAATGGGAAAAGGCAAGATGAAATGAATCATTGGAGTATACCTATATATAGGGATATTATTTGGTAAGAAAAAGTCCTGATGAACCGTGAAAGTGCCGAGCGCAAGGGCCAAAGGGCCACTACATAGTTCATGAATCCATTTATTACAGGAAATGAACCCAGGCATGTGGTGCACACCTGGGAGGCTGAGGCAGGAGGATCATGCATTTGAGCTTGGTCTGCACAACTAAGTGACTTAATCACGTCCTGTCTCCAAATTAAAAAAAATTTAAAAAGGACAGGTGACAAAGCTGGATGTGAAGACCGCGGGTTCAATCCTGGTACAGAAACAGGAAAGAAAAGGGAGGGGAGGGACAGGGAAGAAAAGGAAACAAAAGCTTGTAGGTGACAACCGCAAGGGAACTCTAGTAGACCGGCAGAGTTAGGGCCGGGACGGCAGTGTGGGGAGCTGCGGCCCCTAGAGTGGGCATGTGGTCTCTTTTCAGAGTAAAAATGTTCTGAAGTTGACCGCAACAATGGGTACGCAACTCTGGGCATACTAAAACCCATCGAGTCACATGCTTTATGTGGCTTGTACAGTTTGGAAACTAGAGCTCAATAAAGCTGGTAAAATGCTGCATGTGGGGCCAGCCAAAGAGTTCAGTGGATTAAAGTGACTGCTTAGGCCGGATGCAGGGGCCGGGGGTTCTGTCCCTGGCTTGCTGTGCGGGCCCTGCTCCCCGCTCACTGAGATGGTGATTGAGACCGGGCGTGGTGGTGCAAGCCTGAGGCTGAACACAGGCGGATCACTGTGAGTCCGATCTATATAGTGAGACCCTTACTAAAATTAAAAAAAAAAAAATATTGAATGTGAAAGAAAGAAGGTAGAGAAGCACACGATTGTCCCTGTTTTCCAAAGAAGAGGAAAAAAACAAACAAGAAAAAAAGAACTAGGGCCAGGAAGATAGCTCAGCGGCGTAGGCGCCTGGCAAGCAGCATAGGGCCTGCCTGGCAAGCGTAAGGTCCCGAGTTTGATCCCCCAAAGAAGAAGAACTAAACTATAGAGAAATGCTACACCAGAAGGACAAACTGTAAAATGAACATAAGCTTTCCCCGATGGGGAGGGCAGCTCGGATTCTGGGATGGACTTCAGAGCTGGCTTCAAACCACGCAAATGTTTGTATAACAAAATTTTAGAAATGAATCACCAGACAATTGAAAGCAAGGTCTGAGGCGCTCCTCCACCAGGGTCCCCAGTGCTCAGCAGGAGCTGACTGCTGTTCTAGCCAGGTTATGCCCAGGCTGGTGCAGCACTGCAGAAGCCGTCCCCAGAGCCCCGCGGCTGCAGCGACGGGAGCGAGGGGAAGGACTTTTCCTTTGCCCTGGGGATTGAACCCAGAGCTGTGGCACCAGCTCCATCTCCAGCCACTTTATTTTTAGTTTTGAGGCAGGCAAACACATTAGGTTGCCAAACTACCCAGGCTGAACTTAAATTTAGGATCCTCCTGCCTCCCGAAGTGCTCGATTATAGACGTACACTACCACACCGGCCCAAGAGGAGGAGCTACAGTACTGTCAGGGCTTGTGTCTAATGGCCTCCTAAAGACACATGTACTCAGAGGCTGGACTTTTCCAGCTGGCTGGATCCAGGGTGTGATGCCAGGATTAAGGGTGCTCTCACAGGCAGCAAGCTGGGGCAGCATAAAGGCAGGCTGGCTGCTGCTGCTGCAGTGCCTTCGCCCTATCCTGCTTTGCCATGAGCCGTTTCTCCCCAAGATGCCCGAGGGCTGGGCCACTGCCTTGCAGCCAGCTAACAACAGGCTGCAACTTCTCTGCTACTAACTTTAGATGTGGGCATTTTACTACCTGTGGGCTTGGTTTTTTTTTTTTTTTTTTTTTTTGCGGAACCAGGGATTGAACTCGGGCCCTTTCACTGGCCAGGGAAGTGCTTATTCTACTGAGCCATCTCCCTGGCCCCTACCTGTGGGCTTGGGCATCTAAATGCTTATCACTACATGTGTTTAAAGAGACCATGACAAAAGAACCAGTTGTCACTTTATTAAAATATTGTGAAGGGGTGGCCAGATAGCTCAGCCGTTAAAGCCCTGCGTAGGCAGACACAGGGCCCAGGCGTTTGATCCCCAGCCTGCTGTGCCGGCCCGGCTCCCTGCGTGCGCTGAGACATTACTGACACTGGGCATGGTGGCACACACCTAGAATTCCAGCGTTTGGGAGGCTGAAAAATAAGAAGTATCACTACAAGTCCAATCTGCAGTGAGCCCCTGTACTAACTACATTAAACAAACCAACCAACACTATGGAATCAGAGAAAAACAGATTTTTAAAAAATTTATTAAAACTTTAAAGTTACTTTAAAAATGTATTAAAGCCAGAGGAAAAATCTAACTGGTTAACTCTATAAATCTACAAGTTCCAGGAATTATGTATCAAAGGATTTAGGTTTCAAAGAAGCAGATGTCAGAGAAGTTCTGGTCGAAGGTTTCTCTTCTATTCCTGGGCACCCTGGGACCTGGGCCACCCCGGGGTCGCTCTTGCCGTGGAGACGTCAGTGCGTCTCTGCTGCAGGTGCTGTGGTGGCACTGCATCCCTGGTGACAGGGCCATTGCTTCTGTAGGTCTTCAAAGCACCACGCCTGAGACATTTCCTTTCCTGACTCCCAGAGGGCCACATGTCCTGGCCCTCACTGCCCACATCACTGCGGAGGGTCACCCAGGGCCAGCAGGTTCAGTCTTGGAAGGTTTTCCTCAGTTCTTGCTCCTGAAGACAAGTCTCTTGGCTGGTCAGCTGCACAAGCGAAAGTGGGTTAAAACTCTACAGGAAGCGGTAGACTCGCGTCCAAAGGTAGATGAGGACGGTTGCTAGAACGCAGGACAGAAAAGTCTGGACCAGGCGTGCTTTCCAGTAGGAGAGCGGCAGGGGGCCCCCGAAGGAGAGGCAGAAGCCATCCTGTGGGAGGCAGGAGAGAAGGTTAGCAGCTTCGGGCCCCACAAGGCCTGGCTCTGTCCCCAGCACAGAACCGGAACCGCCCCCCACGCCATACACACACTGCAGGCTCTAGACAGAACAGCAAAACAACTCTTGGAGTTAAAAAGGAAGGCGAGGGCCAGGGAGAGAGCTCAGTGGCACAAGCACCTGCCTGCCTGGCAAGCACAAGGTCCCGAGTTTGCCCTCTGGTATAAATAAATATAAAAGTAAAAAGGTGATCATAAGCAAGGGGACCAAGGGATCATGTGGCAAAGGGTGGAAAAAAGCATTCTGATGTTCTGTGTCTGCACTGAGCAGAGCCAGGAGAGAAGTAGCCACAAAAGACAGGAGAAAGTTAGGGCTTGCTTTTTAAATTTTGTTTTTGAAAGTTAAGAGTTTTAAAATGGTACTTTACAAAATACCACAGCTTCAGGATCCAAAGTTACTCAAAGTTTTTTTTCCCCCTTTTGTCCTGGAAAACCCTTCAGAAAATTCTGCAGACGGTTCAGAGACTCAGTGGGCCTGGACCTGGGCTCGGGCCCAAGCTGTCTCCACCGGCAGGAAGCAGCGGTATCCTGGCAGCCGAGGCCTCTCTTTGGCCCCCCAGCCTGCTCTGCGCTGAACTAGGCCTTGGGCTTTCTGCTTAGCACTCCCTTCAGTGCCTCCTGCTGACTGGTCCTGAAAGGTCTTTTTCTCCAAAAGGTGTCAGCGCGCCTCCAAACACTTCCTGTCTTGTCCTGAGTTCAATCCCCAGTGCCACAAAAAATAGATAAACAAATCAACACTTTGTGTCTTGGGTGGGCTGTTAAGTGCCACATCCCAGCTTTGGGTTCCCCAAAGGACACCCCCTGAGGACATGACATCCTCAGCACCGTGATCACTGCAGTTGCTGTGCACTGCACACCTGGGCTAACGAAAAAAATAAACAGGCAAATCTGACCCATTCACAATCCTTCCTTAGGACCCTCGGAGCCCAGCACTCTGGGGGAAAGCGGCTGTCTAGCCCACCACCCACAGCATCAGCACTATGCAACACCCTCGAAGGTGGACTATGCTGCCATGGTGCTAGCTTCCAGACCAAGGACAGGTGTCATTTGGGACGCGACAGATTGCTGGCGGTGACAGGTGGACCCTGGGTATCCAGTATGAACACCTGGGCATCTGTCCCTGAGTCCACCCTTCCATGGTTGGTGCCGTTTAGCCCACAAAGTGAAAAAAACAGTGATCCTCTCCCTCTCAGCTCCTCCAGGTGCGAGGTGGCCCTGTGAAGACCCCACGGGGCCAGGCTAAGGATGCTTAGGGACAGGATAAGGAGCAGAGAGCCAGGGGCCCTCCCTACCCCCTCCGGGAACCAAATCTCCACCATAGGCGGCTACAGTTTGCATTTGTAAAAAAAGAGCGCTCCAGGGTTAACAGTTATGGCCCTCATCTCACGGGTCATTTCAGTCTCGTTGCAGCTCTAGGGAGGTCGGGGAGGAAGCCCAGCCTTTCAGGGGCCGCGCTTCCGCACGGGAGGCGCAGACCGGGTCGCCCAGCCCACAGCTGCGGTGTCCGGGTGCCTGGTGGAGCACGGCAGCTGAGGGGTCAGTGGCCCAGATGCCCACACACTTCCTAGCTCCCTGCCCAACAGGACTTGGCCTCTGCAAAGGCGCAGTTAATGGGCAGAGAGAGAAAAACGCCACCTGGCCCTGGCCAGGCCATGGCTGACTTTCCCAACTTCGGATCTGCCTCTAGTGAGGAGAGCTGCAGACAGACTGGAGAAGGCTGGGGTGAGTCGGGGGTCTGGACCATGCTTGCCCCCCGCTCCGGACGTGCGCCCGGACAGGCGAGGCCCAGCAAGGCGGTTTCCGCGCATCAGAGCGAAGCCCCCGCCCTGGGACCCGGCTCC